TAAAAAACAAATAATTTTTATTTTTGTTTTTAATCGTAATCTTTGTCCTTATGCCAATAGATCCACTTCTGAGAACAGTCTTCAAAATCTTTGCTTTTTAAGCCTATAAAGTTCAGCAATAGCCGCATTAATTATCCCCTCGTTGCTATTAAAGACGTCTCCTTTTATTTTTTTTTTTTCATTTTTTGAAATAATCAGAAATCACAAGGAATGGATCTGCACGTATTTCTTTGATCCCAGAGATCGCAATAACTCGTTATTTCAGCAGCGTGAGATGGCGCGTTGTCATGATGTAAAAAGTAGCGAATCAAATCCTCTTTCTTCCTATTTTCCAACAAAATTATTAAAAATTTATGGTAAGCACTCGTCACTGTGCCATTTATAAGTTACTACTCTGACCCTTTTTTAGTGGAAAAGTAGCCACGTTTTTAGATCGGGTGAAGTAAACTGACATCAATACTTTCGCTACTGATTTTTGTTTTGCTTATATTTTACATGTAGGTTTGCTCCTGTTGTGCTCCATACCATGGACAGCTGTTTGGTTTCTGGATCGTACATATAAAACCAAGATTCTTCACCAGTAACGATTTTACTAAATTTTCTTGACTGACCATTTTCGAATTTGTTTAGGAAAAATTGAGCAAAATGCACTCGAGCTTCTTTTTGGACCTCATTTGAAACTCGTGGTATCCATTCAGCAGATTCATTCGTGTATCTCAGACGATTATTTAATATTCGCGATACAGCCATGACATTCAAGCTCAATTCATTAGCAATCATTTCTTGTGTCAATCGTGGATCTTCAGTGACGTCGTCAATGGAATAATTTGGTCGACCTTCTCGGGGCTCGTCCTCTACGGAAAAAGCGTCCGGTCTGGAATCTTCGGCACTATTTAGAAAAAGTCTTTAAAGACGGTGCAATCGTTCCATATGCAATTTGGCATTCACTGAATATTTGTATGGGGTGTAAATTACGCCGATACCCGAAGAGAATCACGAGTCGAATTTCAGTTTACGTTGGTGGTGGAATTCCGTCTGACCTATTCTCAATTATCTGGCGTTTTCTCGTCTCCATTTTAGCCGATCGCCCAAAAATTTAAAAGTAAGAGTAGTAAAGTAATTGCAAAGGATTTGGTATTTTTAGATTTCACAAAAACAAATTAGAAGTCACCAACTTAACGAACTTTTGTAATCCCTTCCGATGTATATAAATACATAAATATATACATATGTATATGTTAACTTATACAGACAAAGAAAACGAAAGGAAAATTAAAGTGAATTAACTGAAAATTGAAACAATTTCATTATTAGCATTGAATTTAGGTAACTGAAATAAAAATTGCACACATACATACACAGGTATTTATAAGTATCTGGTTGCATGTCCTTTCTTATGTACGAATGTAAGTACTCGTGCATGTTTTTATAAATTAATTATGAGTTCATTTATATTACTAAACAAAATTATTTATTATTTGTAGGCATAGAGACATACATATATTTCTATAGACATATCGCTTGCCTGCTCTCTTCATTACTTAGCTTAACGCTAATGATCCATTACCGATGTATCATCCGTCACACTCAGTTTCCTTGAAGTCTTATTAAAGTGCCAACAAATTGGTCACTAATCTTTGCCAGCCGCGCCAAAGTCATCAGCCGCAATGGTGAGTGTAAAATATATTCACGTTTACGTATGTATGTATGTATGTACGCATGTGTATGAAATTTATGTATATATGTGTATGGGCAATAAGGTGGTTCAAAAAGTTATGAAATAAATTTAAAAAGTTTAAATTAAGAAAAAAAAATTTCAAACCAGCAACAACGCCATTAACTGTAATGGCGGCTAGACTACGCACACTTAATACTTTAAGAGAAAGGAAATTGAAAAGTAGAAGAAAAAGTTGTACAGATGGTAAAAATTAACTCAATTTTTCGCTTTGCGGTCGCCCCTCTGTAGGAAATTTCCACCAAATCCTTCCAAGTGTATGTCGGACATGAAATAAAAGCTCCTCGTAAAAAACCATCAGCCTTTCGGAGGCGGCTTAGAATAAATCAAGTCGCATAACCACAAATTGGAGGAGGAGCTCGGCCGAAAAATCGCTTCAGCGGTTACAAGCGCCAATTTTTTACAAAAATTTGGTGGAATTTCTTCAACTTATTTCTAAAATGGTTGTAATTGAAAAATAAAATGCAATCCATCGTCTGATTCCTCGTGAATTGTTTCTCGAAGGCTTGTGTCGAAATTCGGCAAGATAGGCATGAAAGTACTTCCGAGAAACACGCGTTTATATTTTAAAGATTAAAGCGCTGAGCCTACTTGCTTTTGAGCGCAGCCCTTCTCAAGGCTGTATCTGTGAAACTTTTATTCGGTTCCACTTGAAAATTTAAGTTGTTGTTCTTTTTGTATAAATTAATTAATAAAAGAAAATTTTAGTTTTTGAAACTGTGAATCCCAGTGGATCTGTGGTTAGAACTCTGCCAACTAAGTAGTCTGATGATGTGATCGTCGAAGAAGTGATCACTTCTGCCATTTTTCTGTTGTATTAGTGAAGTTAAATATTTTTTTAGTAATTTTATTAAAATGGATTTTCAGCCTTGTTATATAAAATTTAAATATTATTAAAACTACTATGAGGAGATTGAACGGAGCAACCTAAGACAGAATTTCGGGTCGGAAGGTTATAGGTTAGAGTTCTGGCCAGATCAATATCACAAACTTATTAGCTATTGATGCCGATAAAAAAAATTTTATTGTCCGACTATAAAGAAGTTCGAATAGCGACAGCCCAGCTCAAAAATAACATAGCGACGAGGGCCGCTGGATCACCAGCGCAGCTATTCATTCACTGCGGAGAAGGACTGACAAGCTGCATGCAACAGATTCTTAGCAAAATATGGTTGGATGAAAGGATATCCAGAGCTTGGAACCTAAGTGTGCTCTGTTCGAGCCATAAAAAGGGGTGACCCACAGTCTGCCCCAGTTACCGCGCAATAAGCCTCCTTAATATCACATACTCGTATAATGTTCTTATCGAGCGTACTGTGCGAAAAACTTAAGCCCAACGTCAAAAAACTGATCGGATCTTATCAGTGCGACTTAAGATCTGGTAGATTTACAGCTATTCAACATTCGCCACTTGTTGGAAAATACACATGAAAAGGAGGGTCGACAAACACCAACTCTTTGTCGGGTTTAAAGCAGTCTTCGACAGCATAAAAAGGAGCAGCGTCTGACAACATACAAACCTCCGTCAGAATCGGGAAGAGTCTCTCTGGATGGTTCGATACCAAACGAGATTTCGGCGTATAGGTGATAGTGAACGAGAGCAAGGCGTAATATCTTCTGTCATCATACAAACAGTCATCGCATTCGGCACTCGGCTCGCATGTGACTATTAACAATCATAACTCGAAAGTCTTAGAGGATTACGCCTACCTGGGAACCAGCATTTACATCAACAATAATGCTAGCCTTTAAATTCAATGTAGAATCACTATTGACCACAAGTGTCCCTTTGGATAGGAGTTGCCAGGAAAAAGATTTTGCCTTAGATTAATGGTCCACTGCGTATTGGCAATGGTAAGTACTGCTGTCGATTGAACTATGACCAGTACGAGGTATACGGCGACATTGACGTAGTTCACAAGACGGCGGCTACGCTGGCTATGTCAAGTGGTCCGGATGTATAAGAATACTCCAGTTTTTAACGCTTTCAATGCAGTATCCGCCGATGAAAGCAGAGAAAGTCGAAGATACCTCTACTCCGTTGGAAAGACTAGTTGCAAAAGGATTTGGTATTTCCAATTGGCGCCAAACAAGGAACTGAAGTAATGAATGGCATGCTATTGTTAACTCGGTTAAAATTTCCTTAGTGGTGTCTATGCTAGTACAATATAAAAGAAGGAGAACCGGTCCACATACCCGCAGAAGGGAAACTAAGCGGATGATTCAAATGAGCCATTCGTCAACGACCGTCTAAACCCGATATCCTGTTGTTATTTGAGTTGTATTTGTACAAGACATCAAGGACTAACCTAATATCCATTATATTTTTCTACATTCATACATATGTATGTACATATGTACTACATATGATATGTAAGTAGTATCTTTGTATGTGTGCAATATTTAGTGTAATCATTCGTTAATGGGAAGGCGTGTTCTCCGTCGCGGCGTACGTGGACATTTTTATTATAACGCGATTCAAGCAGAAAGCAATTACGAAGTGGAGGCAAACGGAAACGCAAAGAAAACAAACAAAAACAAATACAAATCACACCGCCAAGTATGGGTTAGAAGCCCAAGCAAACGAAAGTACACAAACAAATTCAACGAGCAACGATTACCGTCAATTAGCCAGCAGCTCTCTGCTGTCATTAGTGTATGCATGTGTGTGTGCTTGCTTGTGACGCGGCAACCAATACCAGTTGGTAGCCACTTGCCTAGCGCTCTCGCACTCTAACTCTATGAATCTCACTCATTGGTATGCGCCATATTGGAATTGTGTGCGCCATAAGGGCGGGGCTTGTGCTCGTTGGTGGTTGTGTAGAGATGAAGGCGCAGCAGAAGCTAACGCAAACGGTGGTGGTGCGCCGTCCACAAACCGACCAAGAGCAATATCAAGAGCGCAGGGTGATGGAACAACACAGCCAACCAAATGTCTCATTTTGTACGTGATGTATCTGCGCGGCGACGGACTGCTTGTGGTGGGTCTTTAATTCGTTTGGTTTATTTGTTTGTCACCGTACACAGTGGGAACAGTAGGAATCGGTGAGCGACAGTTAGTTTGCTGTCGACTTTTCAACGGTTCAGTAGTTTGTGTTGGTTTTAGATATTTACTCGCAAGCTTTTGTGAATGCGAGTAATAACGGTTTTATTAAAATATATTGATATAAATATAATACATTTGCTTTACGCTGAAAACTCGTACTGAGTGCTTCTTGTGTCTAATAAATAAAATTTTTGAAAAATTACGCAAAGTGAATGTTTTGTTGGAAAATATTTAATAATTTATAGAAGAAAATAATAATTGAATTAATACTGACCGAGCTAATTGCAATCGTTTTCTCCGCCATGGAGGGTGCCCGTCCCCTGGTAACGGACACAGCTAGTAAACTAACGAAATTCTCTACCCCCTTCTCCATCGAGAGTCTCATCGCTAACCACCACCAACAACAACAACAACAGCAGCAGCAGCAGCAGCAGCAGCAACAACATCAAGAACACGATCCTGAAAGAAGTGCACAAATGCCAGTTCCCCACCCACAACGCGAACAGGATGAGTTGAATGCGCGCGCTTTGGTCGCAACATCTGCCTTAGGACTGTCGAATTTCCCTTTCTATAATCCCTGGCTACACGGTTACTTCGCACAGAATCACGATCGGTTGACTCAATTGATCTCCAGCGGCGCCTACCTGACAAATTTCGCTAAAACAGAACAGAGTGTGCCATCCGCAGCACCCCAAATGGTGTCGTCAAGAAACGCTACATCATCACTGCCATCTGCACATTCACAACAATCTTCGCAGGCAATGGCTGTTGGTGGCAATTTCACTGGCAACTCGTGTAATAGTGATCACACACGTATGGTGGTGCCGTCGGTGGCCACGCATAACCTGGATCCAACACACATGTCGGCGGCGCGTTTCCTCTTTAATCCGTCGGATGTGAATTATCGTGATAAGCTATTGTTAAGTACTTTCGGAGGCCTTGCGGGGGAGAATCATGCTTCCACAAATGCGACGCATGCAAGTCTCGCCAATGGCTCCGGTGTAGATCAACGGAACGGAAATGTTGATGGTGTGATGGCTGATGATTATGTGCATAATTTAACGGTACATACGCGTCTACAAAGTCCCACGTCGAGTAGAAATAATAGTTCGGTACTAAATGAACAGAATGCAAGTGATATGACAATGGTGGCTTCGTCCGCCTCCAGTTGTGGGAATACGAATAGTCGGGATTCGTTAAAGTCGCATACGTCTGAGGCGTTGCTGGATGTTGGCATGGATGATGATTTCGACTGTAGCGGCGATTCCTGCAGTGACATTAGTCTTACAATGTCACCGAAAAATTACAGCACTGATATGGATAAGAGCAGGGGTACGTAAAACCTTTTGTATTCATATTAAAAAAAAAAGTATTTCAAGTCGAATTACCTTTACTCAGAAAGTTCAATGATTAAAATCCGTTTTGAATTATTATCTTTCCGCCTTGCGATGATGTTGAAGTACTGTAACCTTCATGATACGGAGTTGATATTTGGGATAGGCTGTGTAGAAGCTGAACTTAACGGGTAGAGGCTTTAGATTTCTTCTGTCGTGCATTTGGAATCTATATGCATTTCGATTCTGTATGCACGAAATTTCAGCTCGGCCAGTTGCTCGAGGCAGAAGAACTCCAAGGCATCGCGGTATATGGGGCAACTGTCGGATATTAACATCTTACGTTGGTTCTTAGTTGATGAACTTTGGCCATTTCAAACTGTATGACTTGTTGTTTAGTGAACGCCCTTATCACTCTACCAATAACAAATAGGGAAAATAACTGATGTGGCTGCTAGGTCAAATATCTGTGATCTATGGGCTCAATCTAAAGACGCCTAGTGTACCTGTGGATGCCTTCACCTTCCTAGTAGCTTAGCCTATTCAACATCTGCTGGAGTTATTTCTGAGAGGTAATTAAGGAAATGTTGCCTTAAGGCTGGCAGGCATACCGAGAGTGCGTCAACAATTTCATGAACTCTCTGCAAATGAATGGTGTTCGCTGAACCCAATCACCAACTATTTCAAGAAATTGCTCGAGCTGTAACGATGTACCCGTGTGATACTGGCACAATTAAGTTCTGGAAATTGTAGTCGACATAATTCCTACATATCCAGACTTGACACCGACATAATCAATGTATGTCTCGCTTGCAATGAAACTCCACACCACACTTACCACCTCTTTGCATGCACCCTAAAACTAACTCATCTAACTCCCTTTTCCCTCTGCTCCGCGCCCGTCGAAACAGCTCGATTTTCAGATCATTCTCATCTGCCCCTGAGAACCCTAAGAGTGCTTTGAGAAGTGTTCTTTATATCTTCTTTAGATTCCTGCAGGTTCTTACTACTTCCCAGAGCCACTGCTAGTCGAGAATCCATTTAGAAGGGGTTTATTTTTTTTTGTAATTTACATATGTACGGCAGTGAATAACTCATTCCAATAATGTCAGTACAAAGATGCCTTTAATACTATGTTGGCAGAGTCAGCTCTAGACATAATTCTTTGGGTGAAATAATTTTAAGCCTCAATTCTGTAGTTAATCTTTTTCGGGATGATCGTCGGTGTAAACTTCTAACGAGTAGTGGTTGATACCGAAGTGATAAAATTATTGCTTGGAATATAAATCATTGAAAAACTTGTCGACCTCCCATAATATATTGCGAACCATTTCGACTGCAACTGCTGGGAGGGATGATTCCTCATTAATATTATGAAGAATTCTAGACGAAGAAGTTTCATCATCGACCTCAGAGCAGCCAAGGTCATCACCATTTGGAGCGCAATTTTTCTTCTGTTCACTAGGAGTATCCAAAACGTTAAGAAATCTTCTCTTATACAAAACCCAGCTGAAGTATGAGACTAATCCGCCCGAATCCAAATATGTTTTCTACTTCATTCATGTTGAAAATATGAATTTAATTAATTATAAACAGAATGGTAGGGATTCGGATGGAAGCACTTTAAATATATTTATAATATAACCTTAGCTTTCCGTGACAAATTTGAGGACGCGGCTCAAGAAACTCGCGCAACTTTTTGCAAAACTTTGTTAGTCTTATCAATAAGTTGGTTTTGTGTTGAAGACAGCGTGTTAAGATGAGACTGCAGGACGTTATCATTCGGATCGTGAAATAATGTTCTGAAATATGTTGTTGTATTCGCAAAATTATTCCCAAAGTGGTTTTTGGGGAGTGTTGCTGGAGTGACAGTCCTTGTTCTAGTAATAAAGACCCGTCTGTCGCAGGAACTATTAGATTTTAGTCGCTTGCCTTACCGCGAGCAAATTTTTAAGCCCCTACCGCGTAGGGGTTTGACAATATTGTCTCATCGCTTCTGTGCTCAGTGAATGGAAAATTCTGTCTGTCTTGGTAGTTTTCATCGAAGAAGTGAAGCGCTCTGTTCTGGGAATTTCGGAAAGGGTCGTTAACGGCGAAGACCATGAATAACTTCGGTGAGCATTCTTGTCTTTTCAGCGAGAGGTGGTAGTCTCCTCTCTGCCTGAAACCGACCGTTTCAAGTTTTTTCATTTGATGGATGGCACCAGCTAAAATATTGCTATGCCGTTCATTGAGCTTCTTGTGTTCTTGTGCCTGCCTGTGAAGCTTTGATAGAAAATGGAGGTGTTGTGAGAGCTCAATCCTTTTGTTATATGTATATCTCATATGTCTATCTCATGTGTGTGTTACTCTGTTTGGCGCCAATTGAATTACCATGTATCGCCAGATCTTTCTCCACCTAGCCTTTCCAACGGAGTGGAAGTCTTCCGCTTTATATGCATCCACCGGAGGAGGTAATGCATCGAAATTTTCAATTGGCGCCAAACAGCAGAAAGAAGGAGAGAATAGCGTGGGGTAAAGAAGACGTGTATTACTCTGTTGCACCTTTTCCCATACCTTTGGATTTGTGGGAGTGTATGGGAACACTTTCACTTCATTAACTCATTCTGCAATGTCTTACTTCCTTCACATTATACTTTGACACATATTCATCAGCTTATAAACAGTGCATTATTGTCGTTTGTCCCATGGAAATCACATTTTCAAATGGGTGAGGTCCCAGTTCCGGCTTTCAACGCAAAATGGTTTTCTAAACACCTTATTTCAAACTATTATACTCACACATAGGAACACCTTTTGAATACTTATATAGATATTTATTTATTTATTTACTCAGTCATACCCAATAAGCACAAGAAAATTGCCTCCAATTTGAGTTGAGCTCGTTTTCAATGGTAAATTCATCATACTTTGCGAGGATAGATCGTTATAGATCAATGCCCCTCGGCAGGGAATATCAAACCCTCCGAGTGTATTTCTAACATGCAACAAAAGACCTCCTCATAAAAAAAACCATCAGCCGTTCGGAGGCGGCTTAGTATAAACTGTAGATCCTTCCATTTGTTGGAAAAACATCAGGACGCAAAACCACAAATTGGAAAAGGAGCTCGGCCGAAAATCGCTTCAGCGATTACAAAGCGCCAATTATATATACCCTTGCCGAATATGTTGAGAGCCAAAACTCCTTTTAACCTTCGAAAACGCTCTGAACTTTCAGGTAAGTCACGGGTTACGGCGTGGTCCCTATGATCCTTATAATAGAAAAAAAAGAGCATTCAACTTCTTTCTACGCGTTCACTCAATTGTTGCCGAGTCACAAATGACAAAATATCAGTTACTCTTCGTAAATATGAAAAGCTCGTTTGTCTTGCATTCAGTCGTGGCTTATTCGAGCATTCTGCAGAAGATAGAATATAGTATAATGTCGCTAGTACTAACAGATAGTAGTGGCACCTAATGGAGATTTTGGCTGGTGTGCAGGGTTGCACATTCAAAAAGTCATCTAACTAAATTAAACAAATTTGAAGTTTTAAATTTTCTCAAAATCCGCGAAAGAAATAATTTACCCGAGCTCGCCTTAAAGACGAAACCAATTAAAAAATATAACAGAATCGAGGCTTCGTTTTTATGTTTATTGGGTGGTAAATACAAGCACGTCCCATCATTTGTTTAACTAATTTGCATTTCAGTCAAAGAATAGCTTGACTAAAAACGGTTATGGTTAATTAATATGAAAATATACATTTCCATTAGATTTTCAGTTCCGTAAACAATTATAATTGCACATTTGCATAAAAGCATTTAAGACCAAATGTTAGGCGTCAATCAAAATTTTCAACTCTTCTTTCAACGCCACTACACTGCGCCACAAACAATAAGAGACGAGCGAGTGAATGAAGGACAAACGGACGAGTGGACTTTTCATATTTACGAAGAGTAACTGACATTTTGACATTTGCAATTCTGCAGCAGTTGAGTGAGCGCGTGGAAATAAGTGAAATAAGTGAACGAATTATGACTATTGTGTGTCATTTTCGTTTCAACTGAATCAAACTGAATTCACAATGTTGCTATGTGTAGATGTTGGTGGTGGATTTTCGTTTCATATTTGATTTCTTTAGCTCTGAACAAAAATATGCTGGCACCATTTTCAGTGGCAACAGGCCCTGGCTGGCTGCTTGGATGTGTCAGGTTGTTAGTGAATGATTTAGCTTTTGTTGTGCTGAGTGGTGGGAGTTTTTAGATACACTTTCTTGAAAGGCGTTTCTAATCGTAAAGTAGTGTAAAAGTCATATATGTATGTATATACTTGATATTTAGATAAATATATACATAAGTATGTGATACATTTTACTTATGTGGTGAAGCACCAGGCGTCATAATCGTAGATGTTGCAACTCCACTTAACGCTGTAAGCCACCCTACAACTTTTTTATAATTCAATTAAATATTTATAACCGATTGCTTGAGTGCCGTTTAAAGTTTCCGTTCAGCACAGTGAGGCAATCAAAGCAAATTAACATAAGTACTAAAAATAATATTAAAACTAAATAAAATGAAAGAAAATAAAATAAAATAAAAAAAAATAAAATAAAATAAAATAAGATAAAATAAAATGAAATGAAATGAAATGAAAGGAAATGAAATGAAATGAAATGAAATGAAATGAAATGAAATAAAATAAAATAAAATAAAATAAAATAAAATAAAATAAAATAAAATAAAATAAAATAAAATAAAATAAAATAAAATAAAATAAAATAAAATAAAATAAAATAAAATAAAATAAAATAAAATAAAATAAAATAAAATAAAATAAAATAAAATAAAATAAAATAAAATAAAATAAAATAAAATAAAATAAAATAAAATAAAATAAAATAAAATAAAATAAAATAAAATAAAATAAAATAAAATAAAATAAAATAAAATAAAATAAAATAAAATAAAATAAAATAAAATAAAATAAAATAAAATAAAATAAAATAAAATAAAATA